CTCAGTACTGGAAGGGGGAAACCTGATAGGGTTTTGAACATTCCCAAAACGAAGGAGTGATACATGTATGAGTGACATATATGCCAATTACCCTGATCTGATCATTATGCTTGGAACACAAGGATTCAGATGCCACAATGAAAACAACCCAATAAGATCAATGAACCCGTTCACACTGCGGGGCATATGGCAACGTACCCCTTAATGTGTTCTGATGAAAGAGAAAATAAACTAGACTTTGGGAGGAAAGACCTGGATTCTTGTACCGTAATTCTTTTTTTCTGGTTTGTTTTTTGTTTTTTGTTTTTTTTTTTGGTACAGGGAATTGAACACAGGGGCACTCAACCACTAAGTCACATCCCCAACCATATTTTGTATTATATATATATATTTTATTTTGAGACAGGGTCTCACAGAGTTGCTTAGTGCCTCTCTAAATTGCTGAGGCAGGCTTTGAACTCACGATCCTCCTGTCTCAGCCTCCAGAGCCGCTGGGCTGTCATCCTCTTTTTTATTTTAGTAGTCATTTTACCTACAGAGGCCTCAAGCCCATATTAGCAAACTTAGGTTAATTTTATCTGCTCCCTGTATTTCACAGTAACATTGGGGAACTCACGATTGTAGGAGTACAGAAACACTGAAGACCTTTAGTTATTTTTGTCTTTACACTTTTTTTTTCCTTTTCCTTTTTCAAGTCTTTGCTATGTATACAGCACAATTCTGAGAAAATAGGAAACACAGGGCACGGTCCTATCCCCTGGAACTTAACGAATCTGGGTAAAGAAACCATGGAACTACTGGAAGGTAATCCACTGTAAAGGTCCCCCAGAGGCAATAAGCTGGAATACAAAGGGAAGATTTTACTGAAGTTGCAACAGGGGTTCACTGGATGCTTTGTCTACATCCCTTGTGGCTTTGAAACTGACATGTTTGTTTCTCTTTTCCCCAACCTTCTCCTCCCTGATCTTCTTTGCCCTAACCTTCTCCTCCTGGTTTTCTTTCCCCTACCCTTCTCCTCCCTGATCTTCTGTTTTTCTCTTCCCTAAACTTCTCCTCCCTGTTCTTTTCCCCCTCCCTGGTCTCCTCCTCTGGGTTCTTCTTTTCCCTAATCTTTTCCTTCCTGATCTCTCCTCCCTGATCTCACTTTCTCTGAATCACCTCTATAAAAACCCCCTACTCCTGCTGAGGTGAGAACCGTCGTTTCTCCTTCGCTGGCCAAGCAATAAACCATCCTTTCTCCTTCTCAAGAACGTTTCTCTCTCGCTGGATTGGCATCAAGGCAAGGACAGCTTTCTACGCCAGGGACAGCTTTCTAGACCAAGGACAGCGTCCCACCACAAGGACTGGAGTACAGGACCATGGAGCCAGAGAAGGAGAAGACCGGGAGGCTGAACAGCCAGAGGAGACGGGTCCCCGACTGGCTGATGGGGACGCCCGAGGCCAGGATACCCCGTTCGGATCTCGTGGACAGGCAGCCCGAGCCCAAGAGAGCCCGGTTTTCTGGCATCGTAATGGCCGAAAACTGTGAAATAACCCACGGACAGCTATGTGAGCTGCTCAAGTATGCAGTTCTGGCTGCGCCCGTCATTGAGAGACCCAGGTGGTGCCAGCTTCTGTACGGAAAGCGACTGAGCAGAACAGTGGTTGTCATCCTTCAGGGGATGAGTCAACTCCACTTCTACAGGTTCTATTCGGAGTTTGGATTTCTCCGAAAAGCCTTCAGGCATAAATTCCGCTTGCCTCCTCCATCACCGACTTTTCTAGCTGATGTTATGGGGCTACCAAATCAAAGGGCTGGATATCTGCCTAAGACCACGGGAGGATCTGTACCATCTGCAGGTCCAAAACCCAAGGTCGACCTGCAGAAGGACCCGGTCATTCAAAAGTATGGCTCTCAGAAGGTGGGCTTGCTGCGATGCCTTCTGACAGAGGAGGAAATGAGGACCTTTGACTTTCCCTTACAAGGTTCTCCCGACTGTGAGAACTTTGTAACGACCAGATGTGATGGGTCTGTCACAGAGAACAGCCCTCTCTTCGGGCTGGACGGAGAAATGTGCATCACGTCCAAGGGGATAGAACTAACCCACATCTCACTGGTGGCCGAAGGAGGCTCGTGTCTCCTGGATGAGTTGGTGAAGCCCGATGAGGAGATTGTGGACTACGCCACCTGCTATTCGGGGATCACGGAGGAGATGCTTAAGCCGGTGACGACGAAACTGAAAGACGTTCAGAGGCGGTTAAAAGCACTGCTTCCTCCTGATGCGGTGTTGGTAGGCCATTCCCTAGACGTGGATCTCCGGGCACTGAACATGATCCACCCATATGTCATCGACACCTCGTTGCTTTATGCCAGAGAGCGGGGCAGAAGATTCAAGCTCAAGTTCTTGGCCAAGGCTGTATTGGGGAAGGACATTCAATGTTCGGAAAGGGACGGTCATGATCCCACAGAGGACGCTGCCGCGACCCTTGAATTGGCTCAATACTTTCTCAGGTATGGCCCAAAGAAGATTGCAGAACTCAATCTGGAGGCGCTGTGGAGAGCCCAAGACCCAAGAAATGTCAGAGAAAAGGTCCACTACACCTACAGAGGTGCTTTAAGATCTTTCGATCCGGGGCATCACAAGCTCCTTTTTGTATCCCGAGAGACAGACGATATTGAACTCCCGTCTCCTGAAGATTGTGAGACTATTAAGTGCCTTTCCAACAGAGAGGTCTTTGAGCAGGCCAGAAGGCAAGTGTGCCTGTACCCCTTCAGCATTATTCGGTTCTCTTTGAAGCCTTTTTCACCTCTCCTCACTGAGGAAGTGAGCCAAAGGATGCAGATCAAGTGGACAGAGATGTCCACTGTCTATGCTGGGCCATTGAGCAAAGATTGGAACCTAAGTGCTCTGAAGAGGCTGTTTAGGAGCTTTGGCCCAGTTCGTACAATGACTGCCGTTCTGGAAACGCATCAGCCTCATCTCTCCATAGAGTATGAAGTCCTGGAAGCTGCCCAGCTGGCCATCGAGTGC